AGGTGATCCACCCACCTCGGCCTCCCAAAGTGCTGGCATTACAAATGTGAGCCACCACACCTGGCCTAACATGTCATCCACTAAAGGGGAACTTTGTCTGGGCACAGTGGCTCACACCTGTAAACCCAGCACTTTGGGAAGCTGAGGCAGATGGATCATTTGAGCCCAGGAGTTTGAGACCATACTGGCCAACACAGTGAGACCCCATCTCTATAAAAAAACAAAATTAGCCAGATGTGGTGGTGCACGCCTGTAGTCCTAGCTACTTGGGAGGCTGAGGTGGGAGGATCACTTGAACCCAGGAGTTGGAGGCTGCAGTGAGCTATGATCGTGCCACTGCACTCCAGCCTGGGTGATAGAGTGAGACCCTGTCCCCCACCACACCAAAAAAAGAAGCAGGGCTCCTCTCTCTTGGTGGGGGGTGGAGGGGAGGTCGGAGACAGCCTCTCCGCCACCTGGGCTGATTCACAAATATCGAACATTCACGAAAACGTCAATACGGTGACCTAGAGCCAGAGGGGAAGAGCGAGGGTACGAGAGGAGAGTTCCAGGCAGAGGGGTCAGCAGGTGCAAAGGCTCTAAGCAGGGACCAGTTTGGCTCCATAAATATTTGTTGACTCAATGAACGATAGAAGATTCTAGAGAGAATTGATTGCACAGAATCGGCCATGGGGACTCGGAGGCGGAGTCCAAGCTGGTCTCAGAGGGGGCTGGGGGCCGGAGGTTGGCAGGTGGGGTGAAGGATGGGAGCTGCTGGCAGGAAAACCGACTTCAGTGAAGATCTGGGCTGGTCCTCTTGGTTTGTTTCTGTCCAGGGAGTGGACGGGACCCATGTAAGGGCCCTGGGCTATCCCAGAACCCATCTAGGAATTCTGAAGAGAAAAGGTTCCGTTAACTGGCCGGGTGCGGTGGCTCACGCCTGTAATCCCCACACTTTGGGAGACCAAGGTGGGCCGATCACGAGGTCAGGAGTTCAAGACCAGCCTGGCCAACATGGTGAAACCCCGTTTCTACTAAAAATACAAAAGTTAGCCGGTTGTGGTGGCCGGGACCTGTAGTCCCAGCTACTCGGGAGGCGGAGGCAGGAGAATCACCTGAACCCAAGAGGCGGAGGTTGCAGTGAGCCAAGATGAGATGGTGCCACTGCACTCCAGCTTGGGCCACAGAGCGAGACTCCGTCTCAAAAAAGAAAGAAAAAAAGAAAAAGTCCTCGTAAGTAGGGGAGAGGTCACGGCAGAGCTGAGGTACCCCAGACTTCGACCTTTGCCCACTGAGGGCTGGAAAACCACAAAACACCCAGATAACGGTCTTCCCTCCCCTGCCCCCGCCTGTCCCCGTGTCACTGGCTCTCAACCCTGTCTCTCCACGCTGTCCACCAATCAGCACCTGGAGGCGGGCTGGGAGCTGCCCAGGGCTGCTTCAGCATCTTTTGGGAGTGGTGACAGAGCCACAGAGGGCTGTGAGCTTGCCCGGCCCCGGGTAACGCTGGTGGTGGGTGGGCCTCCAGCTTGGAGCAGAGACCCCCCGCCAGGCATCTGCAGACAGAGCTGGATGGACCCATGAATATGGATTTAGCTGCTGGAAAGGTGAGCCCTGCTAGGTTCTGAGCGAGACTGGGAGTCTAGGCTGGGAAAGCCTCCCCAAGCTGCCAGAGCTGCGAGGAACCCCATTGTACAGATGGGAAGACTAAGGCCCAGAGAAAGGATGCAATGAGCAAAACTGTGTGTCTTTGCCCTGGGGTTGCCCTTGTCTTTCTTCCAAGTGCCCCTGCCTCCCAGGAGTGGGCACTTGGGGAGGCTGTGAAGGCCTGAGAGGCAAGCGGCATCTCTAGCTAGGGCCTCTCTCCAGCACTTTTTATTTTATTTTATTTTATTTTTATTTTTATTTTTTGAGATGGAGTCTCCCTGTCGCCCAGGCTAGAGAGTGCAATGGCATGATCTCAGCTCACTGCAAGCTCCACCTCCCGGGTTCACGCCATTCTCCTGCCTCAGCCTCCCAAGTAGCTGGGAGTACAGGTGTGCACCACCACGCCCGGCTAATTTTTGTACTTTTCATAGAGACAGGGTTTCACCATGTTGACCAGGCTGGTCTCAAACTCCTGACCTCAGGTGATCTGCCCACCTCGGCTTCTCAAAGTGCTGGGATTACAGGCGTGAGCCACCGTGCCTGGCATACTTTTTTGTTTTTTGAAACAAGGTCTTGGCCGGGCGCAGTGGCTCAAGCCTGTAATCCCAGCACTTTGGGAGGCCGAGACGGGCGGATCACGAGGTCAGGAGATCGAGACCATCCTGGCTAACACGGTGAAACCCCGTCTCTATTAAGAAATACAAAAAACTAGCCGGGCGAGGTGGCGGGCGCCTGTAGTCCCAGCTACTCGGGAGGCTGAGGCCGGAGAATGGCGTGAACCCGGGAGGCGGAGCTTGCAGTGAGCTGAGATCCGGCCACTGCACTCCAGCCTGGGCGACAGAGCAAGACTCCGTCTCAAAAAAAAAAAAAAAAAAAAGAAACAAAGTCTTGTTCTATGACCCAGGTTGGAGTGCAGTGGGGCGGCCATAGCTCACTGCAGCCTCAACCTCGTGGGTTCAAGGGATCCTCCTACCTCAGCCTCCCCAGTGGCTGGGATGACAAGTGTGTGCCACCACAGCCAGCTAATTTTTTTAAATTATTTTTAGTAGGGTTAGGGGTCTGCTCTCTATCTTGCACAGGCTGGTCTTGAACTCCTGGGCTCAAGTGATCCTCCTGCCCTGGCCTCCCAAAGTGCTGAGATTACAGGTGTGAGCCACCACATTCAGCCTCTCCAGCACTTTAAGAGAAATTGGCTCTCACACTGTGGAATTCTATCAACCTCAAAGTCCAGATTTGGAAGGGGAGTCCCAGCGAGGGGCAGTGGCTGGCCCAACCTGGAGGCAGAGCGGCCACTGAACTCGAGTTGGAAGGAGCCGCGGTTGTGCGCACGTGGGAGGTGGGGAGGAGAGGGGCTATGTGTGACCCTCTCACCTGTTCCTCGCACCCCAGATGGCTTGTTCTGCCTGCCCCATGGACCCCATCGACAGCTTTGAGCTCCTGGATCTCCTGTTTGACCGGCAGGACGGCATCCTGAGACACGTGGAGCTGGGCGACGACTGGGGCCACGTCAAGGACCAGGTGAGGAGCCCACTGCAGTTGCCCCGGGGCCACAGAGCTCCAGGCGGTCCCACTGAGGCCCTGCGAAGGTCTTAGACCTGCCAGAGCCCAGCCAGAGCTCTGCTCGGCTCTACGGTGCACTAATGGGTCACGGTGCGTGATTTTAGCCAAGCACATCATTTTGCAGGTAGCATCAGCTCCTTCTCACGGGTGGGGAAGTGGAGGCCCAGAGCGGGGTGGAAACTCATCCAAAGTCACACAGCAATTTGAAGTTAGGTTCAAACTCAAACTTGGGGCACCTCCCTGGCTAGGTTCACTTCTCTTCTCCTTCCTCTCCTTCCTCTCCTTCCTTTCTCTCTTTCTTTTTTATCTTTCTTTTCTCTCTCTCTGTCCTTCCTTCCTTCCTCTTTTTTTCTTTCTTTCCTCTCTCTCCTTCCTTCCTTCTTTCCTTCCTTTTTTCCTTCCTTCCTCTCTTTCTTTTTTCTTTCTTTTCTCTCTCCTTCCTTCCTTCCTTCCTTCCTTCCTTCCTTCTTCCCTTCCTTTCTCTCTCTTCCTTTTTCTTTTTTTCGAGATAGAGTTTATCTCTTGTTCCCTGGGCTGGAGTGCAATGGCGCGATCTTGGCTCACTGCAACCTCCACTTCCCATGTTCAAGCGATTCTCCTACCTTCAACCTCCCGAGTAGCTGGGATTACAGGCACCTGCCACCACGCCCGGCTAATTTTTTGTATTTTTAGTAGAGATGGGGTTTCACCATGTTGGCCAGGCTGGTCTCGAACTCCTGACCTCTCAGGTGATCTGCCTGCCTAGGCCTCCCAAAGTGTGGGGATTACAGGGGTGAGCCACTGCACCCGACCCTTTTCTCTCTTTCTTTCTCTCTCTCTCTCTTTTTTCTTTTTCTCTCTCTCTCTCTCTCCCCCTCTCCCTCCCTTCCTCCCTTCCTTCCTCTCTCTCTCTCCCCCTCTTTCCCTTCCTCCCTTCCTTCCTGTCTCTCTCTCTTTCCCTCTCTCTCTCTCTCTCTCCCCCTCCCTCCCTTCCTACCTTCCTTCCTCTCTCTCTCTCTCTTTCTTTCTTAGACAGAGTTTCACTCTTGTTTTGCCCAGACTAGAGTGCAGTGGCGCAATCTCGGCTCACCACAACCCCCGCCTCCCAGGTTCAAGCGATTCTCCTGCCTCAGCTTCCTGAGTAGCTGGGATTACAGGCATGCGCCACCACGCCTGGCTAATTTTGTATTTTTAGTAGAGACAGGGTTTC